CAATACAATCTTTATATTTTAATAGTTTCCAGGAATATCCCCCCAAAAGTGAATGTGAGCAAAGCAAGCACTCTACAAGTAAAAGAGAAGAAAAAAAAATATTATTGAGCTTGAAGCAGGCAGTTCACATAATGAAAGCTGAATGAGAAAAATATAATGTTCCTTGTCTTTTTCAATTTGGAAAACTTCCTTATTTGAATATACTTGTTGGAGTGAGAACATGACTTTCTACCTTACATTTAGTCCTTTTTAAAGACTTCTTATCCAGCTAACATCAGCTCCTACCTAGAACAGGACTTGCACTGCATGGCCAGACAGCCAAAAACCTTTTCAAAGAGAGACTGGATTGGACTTACTATCACTGCACCATTTTTATTTTTAGTGTAGTTATTTTTTACAGTAATGATGATTTCCATATGCATACTTAAATTTCATTGGCTTATGAACTTGCTTCCCATTTCCTTAGCTCTGTGTTTCCCCACAAGCTGCTCTGCTCTCCACAGCACAGCTTGGGTGTTTTGGAAGCAGCCTGAACGTGTTTTGTTCAAATAGTAAACAATTCAGCAAGCAAAACTGTGCTGCCAATGAGAGCAACCAATGCACGGAAACAATCAGAGTAGGAACAGACTTATTAATGCAAAAAATGGGTAACAAAACACATGGAGTGCTCTTTGAACCGTCTCTAGATTTTCTAGCCATTCTGTGCTATGGCTGGCAACTAACATATTGCAAAAACAAGAAAAAAAGTACTCAATAACAATTAAGCAGCTCTGAAAATAAAAGAAAACACTACATGCCAAGTAATGTCTCTGAAATTCTCTTCCTTTTATTCCAAATAGTTTGACTTCACCGGCTACTTTCTTAACAACTATCATGTTGTTGCTTTATGTTCAGGAACCCTGTTGTACTACTGATCCATATTTTGTCACCAGGTAAAACAGACATGTGGTAATATAGTGATAAAAATGCCAAATCTTTTCCATATCTTGCAGAAGCACATAGGAAGAGCCTTCCTCTTAAAATTTTTTCTTGCCAGATTTCTAACAAATAGACCAATATGGATATCATCTCTCTCTATATGTATATACTTACATGCAAAGCTTGGATTGTCTTTTTTCAGACTTGTATTACAGATTACAGGGATACAGTTAATAGGTATAATCAAGGTTTAGGTTATCAGGATGCATGTTCGCAAGCTCATCAAAATTTTGTCACAGGTTTTGACTACTCCTAGCACATATGTGAGGTCAAAAGCCAGCTTCAAAATCAGTGGCCTCAAAATTTACTGGTGGACTTTTCTTCATGTCAGTGGCAGAAGGGTAGATTTGAAATCTTCAAAGACCAAATTCTTCCAAGTGGGCCATTCCACCTCCTTTTCAGGAAAATGGGAAATGAGCATTTGGAGCCTGAGTGGTTTTCCTTGGATAAACAGGGAAGCATCTCTTCAGGCTAAGTGTATTGTGCTAGCAGTTTACTAATTCTTGCAAGATAGTACTATACCAAGTCTGTAAGGCTGAGGTAGATGATAGATTAAAATATTACTGCATGCCATCCACATTTATTCATCAGTCTGCTTTCAGCTACTTGTTAAATATATCAAAGAAGGTGTGCAATCAGCAGAAATCTTCTACATAGAGATTTCTAAAGGATTTTTTTAAAAATAAAACATGACATGTGTAAGTGAACTAAAAAAATGCTTGAACTGCTGCAGATGAAAGTGTTCTCACATCAATTTAAGATGCTGTATTTCAGTACCAACTAAAGTTGTGCTAATAGAAAATGATAAAAAAAAAATCTGTGGTTGAACATTATATTAAAAACGCTTCAAAGAAATTACTTGAGGGAATTCAGTTGTATTGCTTTTCCTTTTGATAAAATTTGATAAGGTCATTTAGTGCCAAATTACATTTGCCCCCTAGGCAAAATTAAAGTTTTTGACACAGGATGGTAGCTGAGAAATGAAAAGCTCTTTGAAAGGGTTTCCAAACCTCCATTCAGGAACATTTGGAAAATTATTTTATAACTCAGATTTTCTTTGCTGCCCTGGGGAGCTTATTTGCTCTACCTATAGTACCATTACCTCAATAAGGTAGCAATGCTGACTTTTGTGGAAATATGCCTGCCCCACCTCTGCTAAAGCTTTAGAGGATTAAACTGATTTACTGCAAAACTTTATGCTAACAAGATGCCATTGCATTATCATCAGAGTAATGTTTAGTAAATAAAATATCCAGGGAAAAATGTAAATGCTGGAATTACTAACCTTGTAAATAAAACTAAGGCTTGTAAAAATGATTTATCTGGGACAGAAAAAGTATAGCTTTAATTAAACATTATTTCGTTTTGCCCCAAAGCCCAAAGATTAAGATTCTACTCTAGGATGTTGGCAAGCCAATTTCATTTTCTCTCTTTTGTATGTCACCTGGTGGTGACATATTTATAGTACTGCCACACATTTTGGCCAGAGGAAAGATTTTTCAAAATCTCTTATTGGTGAAGTTCCATATTCCCCCCCAAAACAAACATTAACTATGGTGTGGTTTTAAGAGTGGCTTTCCAAGGGAGTATCTTAGGATAAAGCTGGGAGACATTTCCATTTTGCTACAGCAATATCTTATGCTGTAGCATACCTTATGATTTTTGCCTAAACTAATGGGTCAACTCTGGGAGAGTTAGGGAGCATATATAGCAATGCAGCCATTAGGTCCTTAATCTGGAAGATTCCAGCACAAGACAAAATGAATATATCTATGATAAACAGTGTCCTGACCACAAAACTACCAGGAATAAAGAAAAATATCTGAAAATTCCTGTCATTTTTGAAATAAAGACATTTTTGAATTTTTGATTTTTTTTGAAATGTATTCCTGTTTTTTCTTTTCTGCTTGCTTTTAAATGTCCATTCCATCAAAAGAAATATTTTCATTTTTGAGTAAAATGAAGTTTTATTTAATGAGGAACATAATTTTCAGCAACACATTTCCACAACATAGAAGTGCAGTTATTTAGTGTTCTTATAACCACAAAAAAAGGTATTAATTTGACTAACTAGGATGGGATTTTCAACAGGTCTCAGTGTACCCTTTACTCTCCTTCCTTTCTTTTCTGAAAAACTTATTTGAGTGCTACTGCAGCCTTCAAAATGTTGGATATGCACCAAAAAAAAAAAAGGCATCATACTATGCGCAGGCTAATGGTCCTGTATAAACTTGTGAACTCTAATTTCATAGCTGGCTGCCTGATGTTGACTTTTTATCCCAAGTGTTTTAAATCTTTCTCTTGCTCCTTTCCCCTTCTACTTGTCATATTGGAAATGTTTTGATGACTGCTTTAGAAAAGGAAAATGATTGAGAAGACTATGACTTCATCCTTTACCACCTAAGTAGGGGTAGTTCATTCAACACAGTGGATAGTGTAGGACATAGAGCATGACATTAGAAAGCTTAAGTGGTTTCAGAGCTCAGAAGAGCAAGAGCAATAGCAACACTTCTCTGCTTTTACCCTGCTTGTGATGAAAGATCTTAATGGAAAAAAAAATCACAGTTCACTGGTATTGTAGCATAACTCATAAAAGTGAGCCCTATTCCTCCAAAGTCCAACTGACTTACCCTATCTTCCCCAGAGAAGAAAAACATGCTGCTGTATCGCTGCTGTATCTCTCCTTGGAGTCTATATCTTACACCTTAGTTCTGTTCTTAGTTATCTGTAACTAACTGTTCTTAGTTATCCAGTACTGTATTTCTCCTTTTTAAGGAATAGACTAGCTGTAAAATCAAGGATTGGCCTAGTGTATGAGGGAGAAAAATACAGTGAACCAAATGTTTCTCATCACCAAAATTGACTTAATTTGCTATTTATCTTCATTGCCTCTCACTAAACTTGTGCCTGGAAGAATGCATTTCACCTATTCAGTAAGAATAATCTCAGCCCAAATGAACACTGAGATGCTTTGCAGAGATAGGAAAATACACATGAAATAATATTTCCTGTGTGGAAAACAAAATAAAGATCATTAGAAAAAGATGCATTAACTCCTAAGTCTTCTAATATAACCCACTCCATATAAAAATAATTCACCTGTACAATTGGCCTTCTACAGACTCATTTAACAAGTGGTCTACAAAGTGTTTTCTATTAGTTGCAAGACACTTCAACCTAAGAGAAGATATAAAACATTATTTAGTTGACTTTTATAGCAACCCTAATGAAACTTTCTGAACCTTTGTGGATAGCATTTTACAGAAAATGGGTAACAATGGCTGCAAGTACAAAAGGTTGTAGGATATACAGGACACTAACAATTTCAATTATGGAATATACAGCAGTATGTTTCAACATCTGTAGACTGTATATTAGAACACTATTCTCCCTGGTTCATTCCATCTGCAAGAGCTAAAGTAGATGTCCTGAGTAAAAGGAACATAGTTCTGAGGACAAAAATTAAAGTCAAATTGCAATTTGATTTTCTCTTTGTGTTTTGGAAGAACTGCACTTTATTTTTGCCACCTTAAGAAAAGGGAGCAAGGAGTGCAGAAGACTTCTGTTGTTTTGGTCCAGCCTGAAGTACAGTTTAGAGAAGCTAAAGACTTGTCTTTTACAAAAATCAATGGGTAATATCCCCCCTTTCCTAAGAAGGAAGCAGCTTCCATAGGGAACCTCTCATGAAAAACATACTTTATTTCACAACAAGCCCTTGAATGAGAGCTGAACAAACTGGCACTAAAAAGACCCAGTATGCTGGTAGCTTTTGTGAATGCTGTGAGTGTTTTCTTTTCTTTTTTTTTTTTTTTTTTTTTTTTTTTTTTTAAGATGAATTTTCTAAAAGAAGTCAAAAGGAATGTTTAGAAGAATCAGGGCAGAAAATTCAAAATAATAACCCAAATATGAATACCTTATCTGGTTCTATTACTATGAGCTTCAACACTATAAAGAACACCTTTTGCCAAACTACTGCAGAACACCTTTAGTCTGCCAGAACTAAAAATCTGTTTATTTTCTAGGGGTGAGGAGAATCTAAAACCTGCCAACTGCTGATATGGACTCAGAGAGCCAGGAATAAGCATAAGCAAGGTATTGCTTGATGTCCAAGAGAACAATGAATAATATTCGCTCTGCGATATGTTAAACAAATGTATTTTGGGATGTGCATAGTTTTCTTTTTGAACTATTTTAAGTGGTTATAACATTTAATAATGTACTTTGGTTAGAATTTTCTCTTTGTGTCATTTCATACCAACACTAAACTCAAATTCTTTAGATTGCATGATAACACTGACTGGTCAAGGACATAGTCAAGGAGGAAGTGCTACTCAAACTGTTGTATGAACTGTTCTAAGATCACCTCCCTCTGCGTTTTTCTAAAAGCTGAGTACACATCCTTTAGCTGTCAAGAAGTAAAGTCTACACCTAGTAAGAGCGAGTGGCTTGCCTCTTGTCATCCAGATCAATCATTGTTTACTTCCTTTTATATTTTAATTTAAGTACGAAGAAAGACTGGCTCTGTCACCTCCTCCCAGCACAGACTTGGACAGGTGCAACTATGAGAAGATAGAAAGGGACGGTGTCTTTTCTGTGCAGCAACCCACCACAGCAAATGGAGAGAGAACTCCAAGTGCAGAGTAAGACAAGGAGGTTGACCACTGCACATGGGAGTTTCCTAAGGTAAGAGGGGAGCTGATATGAACAAAACTGTACAATGAAAGAAAGAAACAAATTTAGCAACTCAATAAACTCCTGACGTTTGATGAATGAGAGTTAGTTTGAGATGGTTAGTTCAGATGATGGTTAAGGAAAATATAAAGTTCCACCTCAAAGCACTGTTTGACCTGAGATCCCAACTTAAAACAACAAGTGCTTACAATGTAAATTCCCCCCCCCCAAAAAAAAAAAAAAAAAAAAAGTGGCAGAGCACATACAGTCTTAAATTACACAATTTAGAATAGTAAATAAATGTATATTGTGTTCTTTTATCAATTCTTTTTGTTTCCTTCATATCAGCATGTAGTGCTGCACTAACATATCAGGATAGCCTGGGCTGTCTATACAGTCTATCAGGCTGCAGCAGCAACAGATTTTCCTGTTCCTGTTCTGCAGTGCAGACCATTTGACTGAATAGTGTCTTCAAAATCTTAGCTTTCCCCAAAATGCCTGTGCTTAGAGTGAAGCTGAGGAGGGCTATCCAATCAGCCTGGAAATGAGTTTTTCACTGATTTCATAGCTTAAACTTTTTAAAAATAATCTTTTCTCTCTCTCTCTCTCTTTTTTTTTTTTTTTCTTTTTTTTTTTTTCCAGTAGATTGAGGGTGACAGAGCTCTGACACAGGCTGTCCAGGGAGGCTGTGGAGTCTCCTTCTCTGGAGATCTTCCAAAACTGCCTGTGCTCTGGGTGTCCCTGCTGGAGCAGGGGGTTGGACTAGATGATCTCTAGAGGTCCCTTCTAACCTCAACCATTCTGTGATTCTGTGATTCCAAGTAAACACAGGAACATGGCAATGTGTCTAAAAAATATAGACAGTATTCAATTTTCTGCAGTTTGATCTCTCTTCAAAGAAATAAGTTGGGTAGTTAATAAAATAGGTTATCACTTGGACATCTGCAAAGCTTCTCTGAGGTAGGGGACTGAAGGACTGTAGGTAGCACTAGCCCAGCTACTAGTGATATGTTGTTAAGGAGTGGAACAGAAAAGTTGACCTTGTTTGACAAACACTGAACTGAAAGTCTTCAGCCATTTAATCCTTAGAAAAGTATTACTGAAGACAATGGGCGTTGGTAGAATGTAGAAACATAAGCAGTTTCTGAGACACGTTATGTAGCTATCACATTCTTAATATAGTTGAATAGTCTTGGTCTCTTTCATAAATTACTTTAGAATTTATAAACTACTTCATATTCAGGAGTAATGTGGGAGTAATTCTGAAAGTAACAGTATCTTCCTTACCATTATACTTCATGATACTTTCACCTGGGATCTTAGATAACTGAGATACACATACTCTTTGTAATCAGATTTACATAGTTTGCTGTGTAGCTCAAACACTGAGTTACAGAATAGAATGAGGAATAAGCTATTAAATATTAATACAACAAATGGAAAAGTGGGAGATTGGCAGAGAAGCTATTATTTTTTTAACTTCTGCTAACTTTCCCAGAATCACTGGCTGCAGGGATTCCAATAATTTGTATAAAAAAATCATCTTCTCCACTAGATTTGTATTTAATAGACTCAGCAATGAAAATACTATTTGCAAAGTGAGTGGTGTGGTATAGATTTTTCTGCATGAAGCACAGCATGTGGAAAAAAAATTAATTAATATCTCTCTCTATGACAAAAAATATCAGAGCAACATTAACCAAATCACCAAGTGTCATTGAAAATTGTGAAATTAACTCAGCTTTATTAACTCAGCATTACAGACACACAAGGATTAATTTAATGACAGATGAAAACTAACACTATAGGAAGCAAATATAAGGGTCAGCTACTGTAATGAAAATCATGTGAAAAGTCTAGACGACAGAGAGTATGGAAGAAAGGAAGGGGGTGACTGAACACTACACCAGTAGTGACTGATCACAAGCAAGTGATCCTGGGAAGTGCAGAGGAAAAGGAATGGGTTGTGTAGAGTGAAGCAGGCATTGACTGCTTCTTATTTTTTCTGCTATCAGTTTATATGTCTTTTTATGATTATATTTATACTTGTTTTACCTTAAAATTAAATGTGAACATACTGACCTCTTTTTTCTATGAAGTAAAACAAAAGTTTGCTTGGGTTTCTTAGGCAGGTGAGGGAGAAGTAGATCTGTTTGTTATACCAAATGATACAGTGGTGTCAACTTGGATGATTGGATTAAATCTGCAAGAGGAGCTTGTCTTCCCTCATTAATTCTCTGAAACAGCAACTGGAGTTAAGAAAAGACTTTCCTTTATGGGAAGGTTTGTAGATCTTATTAATTCTTACTGGAGATCTACTTTCTTCTTCATTCCATAGAAGAGTAGCTCGCAGGAATCCCATCATTCTGCTACTGCATGGAAGGGAAGGGAGAATAGCAGGTTACTGTACATACGAATATCTCAATATATAATTAAAGCAATTGAATACTTCTATGATAAGATATTTAAATATTAGAATATATGTATTAGCTGGGGAATTAAGGAGTTGTCTTAAAGTCCTTACTATACTGATGAAGGCAAGAATGCTATATCTTAAGATTCTAAGAAGAAAAAGACAGTTCATACTTTGAGAACCACCTTACAGTAATGCCATTAGGCATCATTTAAACTTTAAAAGATTATTTCAAGAGCTTGTAATATCTATGTAGAAGATCTGAGTTTGGATTAACTTGAAACTGAATGTCAATTTGTGTTGAAATATAAGAAAAGGATATCTCAGAGACTAGACTGCATAAGAAGAATAATGAATCACTCATTAAAAGTATTGTGGCAGTTCATCATGACAAAGACTGTGTGAATACAGAATTTAAGAAAAAAATACAAATCAGCTCATATATAGCTGCAGATTTCATGTTCATGAGGTAACAGCTACCCACAGAATGTTGAGCCAATGAAAAGTAACAGCTGGCAATATGTTAATGCAGTGAAATCCTTGAAAGCAAAGAATTTTTCAGCTCTAATGAATCCATAAGAAAGTATCATGTATTTTTCTTAATTTCAATAAACTCTCTTACATTCTTATGCTCTCAGCCACCCACATAGTCCTGCTGTTAATCTATTGACAGACTGTTCATCTATCGTGTACAAACCAACACCACCATTTCTAAGAAAATAGCAGCAGAAGAAGTCACAGCACATCATCATGAAGAATCGTTTTTCCTTTACAGCATTGGTTCTGAAACATGTAGTAACAGAGACTCTATATTTGATAGACTTATGCAGGATTCATATTTGCAAAAGCACTGTTAGAGAACAAATGGAAAACATTTTTTATAATAACTACTTCTGCACTGAAAACTTTTAACCAAACTTATCATAATTTTTTTGAATATTTCTAAAGGTTGTCAACTATTCAACTTAGTGTTGAATAGATTGGACAATACTTTTTTCTGTGTTGTTGTAAATTTGGTGATAACCCATGATAATGCCTCTTCTTTTTCATTAGATGGCAGATATCTTCAAATTAAGTTATTTTTTGCATTTGGAAATTAATTTAAACACTATTTGTAAATTATATTGAGCAAACAATGCCTTTCTATGTAAAAAAGCTGTGAAAGTTTTTAGTTAATAGTAAAAGCCTACTCATAAATAGATTTGGTGTATATTTCTCCTATCCTCATATAGAGAAGGGAGAAGAGTACCTTATTTGGGTATTTTAGTGTAATTACAAAATTTGAATTCAACAGCAATCTGAATTTGAGAGGAGGGTGAGACAGAAATGGCCAGCCTTGTTTGAATGACTACGTATAGGCAAATGAAAAGAATACAAATTATGGTATCAAAAAAATATATATAACAATATTTTCCTACATGTATGCCAACCCAAAAAGAGTAATCAACTCCAAAATACAGGTGAATAAAAAGTAGGTATTTATCCCTCCAGAAACTGATTGGGAAAATATCAAACTTAGAGCAACCATGCTTAAAAATCGTAAGAGATCATGATAAGAACAGTATCTGAAACTGAATTAATCCTTCAATACTTTTTCTATCAGATTACAGTACGATCAAAAGCTTCTGTAAAAATCTCTTGGCCTACTTTTCTTAAGTATTTGGACCATTGCAACCTGAATATATTTCTTCTCACTCTCTCTCTTTTATTTTTTTTTTTTGTTTTTGTGTTTGTTTTTTTGTTTTTGTCTTTGTCTGCCCGTGTAATGACTTGCTAGGTTTCTTTCACTTGGAGATTTAGAGTCTTTATAGTTTGACTTGATTTCCTGTGTTTATAATTGTTTGTCAATTAAAACTAGAATGTCTGGGTATTTGGCAATAGATCTGAAAATTTTCAATTCTGTAACTGAAATACGGAAGAAGAAGGAAAAAATATCTGGCTATTCTTTACAATATTTCTGCAACATGCTCAAAGATATTACATCAATTGCTTTCATTTAGTTCTCAGAGTGTGCTCACAGCATAGGAGCATATTCTGCAGCATTATTTTAGAAACTGACATAGCACCACTTAAAAAACATTTTACACAAAAGGAGCAAGTATTGAAATGTCTGTATCGCAAGTATTGAAATGTCTGTATAGCTTCAAAACTGTTTATCCAGTCTGTCATTTTTCATAATGGGTTTTGTGAATTATTATTTCTGCATTATTGGTTATTAAAGTTGATAAATGGAGCAAGATGATTAGAAAAGTATGAGAGAAAAAAATGATATGAAAATAACAGTGCCTGGAAATACTAAATGGCTATTCAAACACGTACAAGAATGTGGATGCATTGTAAGATATTTTCCAATGGATAGAATGTACTGGCCAGTATATACTCATTACTGGTGTAAACTGAGACAAAGCCGCACAACCAATATGATAAAAAGTTATCATATTACCTCATAAATAAATAT